TGTGTGTGCCAGCCCTGAGCCCATGGAGCTGAGCAGGTGTGGGGTGCACAGCTCAGGGCTGCCCAGAGAMRGGAGCAGCAGGGACACACTCTGATSCTGTGYGTGCTGYGGCRCTGGCAGGGTGACAGCAGTGCTGGCAGGGTGACAGCAGTGCCACATGCCCCGTGCAGAGCTGGCTCTGCAGAGGGAGGGCAGGGGCTCTCCCTGGAGCAGTTCAGGTGGCAGCTCTGTGCCAGAGGCTGCCCCTGGATCAGCAGCTCAGCAGCTCCATCCCCTCCCCACAGGTGCTGAAGTCGCTCAACAAGACGTACCAAATGCTGAAGAGGAGGCCGGTCACCGTGGACCTCGACCCCAAAGCCGTGACCTGTGATGAGCTGTTTGGGGTCATTCACCCGGCCACACGGGAGTGGAAGGATGGTGAGACASCAGYGCTGAGCTCAGCTTRTGGGATGTGAGATGGAATGGGMAGAGTTTCCTTGGGGAGCTCAGCTTATGGGATGTGASATGGMATGGGCAGAGTTTCCTTGGGGCTGGCTCTGTCCTGGAGTGGGAGGAGAAGCAATGCTCATGGGAGCACCAATCCCACGTGTCCTGTAGCAAAGGGCCATGTCTGGAGAGGAACAACGCCTGTCTTTCTGTGGGGCAGGTCTGTTCTCCACAGCAATGCGTGACCTGGCCAACATCACCCATGATGGGCCCAAATGGATCATCCTGGATGGAGACATTGATCCCATGTGGATCGAGTCCCTCAACACAGTCATGGATGACAATAAGGTTGGTGCCATCACACCCCAGGGCCTTTGCTTGCTTGGGGGGACCATCTGCAGGAATCCCCCACAATGAGCCCCCTCCCCCAGGTTCTCACCTTGGCCAGCAACGAGCGCATCCCCCTCACTCCCACCATGCGGCTCATCTTCGAGATCAGCCACCTGCGGACAGCCACGCCAGCCACCGTGTCCCGGGCTGGAATCCTCTACATCAACCCCACTGACCTGGGCTGGAACCCGTGAGCTTGCCAGGGAGAAATGGGATGGGATCCATGGGATGGGATGGGATCCATGGGATGGGATGGGATGGGATGGGATGGGATGGGATGGGATGGGATG